AGGCTAACGATGCCGGCGACGAGATTTTCCCGAGACTCCAGCCAAATATTTTAGAAGGCTCGCCGACGGCGCCCTTTATGCCATTGACTGCGAGATGGCGGTTATCCCAATTGGTGCATTGAATGTGGACGATTTTTGGAGAGATGCTTAGGTAACTCTTGGAGAAACTCTTCTACAACTTTAAAAGAAGATTTTTGCCAAAAATTGAAGAGGAGTTCAAAGAGTTGGAAGGTTTGAACAGCGTCCAAGAGCCCCAGTAGTGTGTAGAGAGTTTAATTTAGGGTTAGATTGTGAGGAATTCTTCGAGAGATTGTAAGAGTGGAGGGAAAGTGAGAGATTTCTTCCTCTTTGCCGCTTCGAAGAAGAATTCTGTGTGCTGTAAAGAGAGGAATAGATTCAGAATAACTTCGAGGAGTTTTCTTGGAGAGGAATTAGAGATAAGTGTTATTTACTTGTTGTAGTTTGTATGATTTTGCTTTTATATATAAATTCTGAGTTTTGTCGTATCTTCCCCATGAGTTCTGAGTAGTTTTCTCTGTCTTTCTCCTTGTCTTGAAATTTTGTGATATGGTGATTTGAATTGGTTGAGCTTTAAAAATGTTAAAGAAGTTGTGATGATTTTTTCACTTCGATCTTAATTTACTTTCAATCTGACCAATTGATTTGTTAAAATATGTTGAGTTTTACAACTAAAGTGAAGATTACATCTAATATTCAAGAAGGTCAAAGCCCTTGGAAGTTGGGTGCAAATAAATAGGAAAATAAAATTATCGGGCGTAGAATTGAAGATTTTAGAGTGATAGACTAAAATCTCCAATTCGGTTCTATCGTTTGGGTGCTGAAGTGTAGATGTTAGCCCTCAGGCGAGGGGAACGTGGGAGCTCCGAAGTGAGAGCCGGTATCCTCCCAGCTAGCCGTAGATTCAATAAGCAAGCATAGAATTAGTCAATGTTTTTTATGCATGGACCAAAGGGTAAATAATATGTATGCTTCTATTTGACATAATCCAATTTGAACTGATTCACTTTAATTTCTTGACAAGGAGAAAAATGCTTTCTTATATATTGAACTTCACATTAGAAACTTTATTAGTAGAATTAGTTATTTAAGAGTTATTAAAATTACATATTTATTTCAATTGTCTATTAGTGACAGATAAGCAATTTGAATTTTATTGTTGTTATTAAGTATTGATTTTCTAAAATTTTAGTTTGTAGTCTCTAATATTACTCACTGTGGGATCGATATCTAGGACTCCATTAGAGCCCTGTATTGCTTGAGCGATACGTATATTGATAAATGTGACTATACCATTATTGAATATTTTATATATACATCTTTATCGAATCTATAATCGTTGTCAAGTTTTTGGTGTCGTTGTTGAGGAATTAAATCTTCTAGCAGCAGTATTAAATACTTGTATTTTTAAGCATATATAAAGTCACTGTCACTTACTGATGTCATCGTAGCTCACCATTACAAATTACTTGACCAATTACGACCTATGTAGTCCACAACTCATACAACTCTAGACTCCGACCCCTTCGACGTACATACATCATCACAGCTTGCTGTTATGACCTATGTGACCAACTACGACCTACACAACTCACAACTCTTACAATTTCCTATTACGACCCTTGTAGCCAATCAACGCTACAGAAGCAACCATATGTGACATACATGACCAACTTCTATCATGGATTTCAGATACAAACTATATGACAAGCTGTTGCAATAACCATCATCAATAACATTCATGACAGGCTACTACCTCTATAACAATCAATTATGACCCTTAGGCGCTTTTATCACCGAGAGCGAGGTCATAACCACCCTATTACAACTATTATCAATGAACTTTTGTTGTAAATTTATATTGATTAACTTTATAACTTCATCTCCCTAATTCAGGAGAAGAATAAACTTGCATAGTCATCGTTTATAGTGAATTATTTCAACTGGGTTATACCTTGTGTTTTTTTTCTCTTTCTAGGCTTTTATGCATAAAAATTTAAGATGTACCTTCCTACTTACTCATATTTAATTACCTAAGTGTGTGTTGGGCTTTCGTGCATCAATAAGATGATAATTCCTTACTCTGGCACAGCAGACCTTCCGATACACATCAATTGTAACTAGAGATAAGTATTTTATATCTAATTAAGATTTTAACTGAGAATATTTTTTATTTCAGATTTTTGCTATCATTATTAACTTGTACTTAAATTTTTTTTTGGTTATAAGAAATTTTAACAACCAAGAAAAATATAGTATTTACTTAATAGAAATAAGTAATACGCACACAAACAAAAATAACTAGAGACAACTACAAATTTATATTAAAAAAGTAATAAAAAAAATTGTTCTTAGTCGAATTAACAAGATATATTATATAGATGAAGTAACAAAGTTATATTTTTCAATTCATTTAGAAAATTTGAGATTATATTGTATGGCTATTTTTATTTACAATAGGTTGTCGGACAATTGGCCTTCGATGTGTGCTGGAGAATTCATGTCAAAAGAGTAATGAATTATTATCCCAGCATTGTAAGAGAATCCATTACACTAAAAAAATAAAAGTGGTAAGAATAGACACAAGTTCTTACATAGAAAATTACAAAAGGGAAAAAACCACTGGGTCTAGCCCAATAAAAAATAATCTTCTATAGCTTGATGAGTACAAGTACAAGCTCTTTTCTCACATGTAGGAAAAGGTCACGTATTTACAATATTCATATGTAGAAGAACTCGTTGCACAACAATCGGGGGTGGTTGCAGTTGTCGAAAATTGTTACACTATCTTCAAAGAGCATCTCTACGTGGTGTTCAAAACAACACAATGCTCCGTTACTCCGCGATGTAGGCCACTACTTCGCACCACACTTCATTAACACTTCATTACTCCACACTTCATTACTCCACGACGTTAGTCGCTACTTTGCACGACACTTCATTACCCCACGTCATTGGTCACTAATAATCAATGTGCTTCTTTACCACACAACATTGATCATTGTTCAACAAGATGTCTCACTACTCTACAGCATTGGTCGTTGCTCCACACAGTGCTTTGTTGCAACGAGCAGGAGATGAATGATAACATTAGACGACGATTGATGAGAAGTGGCTGATAGTGGCCAACGATGGGCGTTCGTTGGATCTTTGTTGTCGAACAAAAGACTTCAACTAATTATTCTTATGATCCTCCTCCAAGTTCAGCTCTTTGACCCCTTTCATAAGGGAGATATAACTTTATTTGTAAAGTTGAAGAGAGGCCTCTCGACAGATATGGAAGGAATCTGTACCACTTCATTAGATGACCCATAAAGATTCTTCAGACGAGTTTTTGCAAATAGTCTAATGCCTTAACTATACTGGAATTGAATGATTTTGAGCTAGTTGAATTTGTCACATTTAAATGCTCAGTTTGATAGTAAGTTTGTCAGATTTGGAATTTGTTATACTTATCAATTGGACATTAAAAGCTTCCAAAAATGATTTAATTACTTGATTTGACTTCAATCGGACTAGCTTTGATCATTGTGTTTGCCTCGTTGAGCTAGTCAAATTGACTTTAAATTTCTTGAAATCAAACTTCTGAATGATTCTTGAATGTTTAAGTTGTTTTGCATTTTGTCTTGTTTTGTTTTGTAAATAACAAAGGTTTAAGTGCTATGTCTATGTAAGCACATACCCATTGTTCTAATATATATATGTGTGTGTATATATATATATATATTATCGCCAAATACCTGGAAAGTGGGTA